CGCTATGTAATTTAAACTAATATTCATCTTGCATTTATATGGAACTGGGCTGGCCTGTCTAGGCAAGATCTTGAGAAGTAAAAAGTATTATATTATACTATTTATAGCAGTGATACCAATGATCTGTTTTTGCGAGCCAGCCCACCTCAATTAAAAGTCTCTTGTAAACATGGGATGAAATCAACTCGGATTACCTGGGCTGGTTCACCTAGGAGATTAGAAAGTTTCAAAGTTAAAATTTATTTTGAAATCTCTCTGAGGGATAAAACCTTCAAAACTTTATTGTTGACAAAATTTTCAGGTAGAGAATACCCAGGAAAATTGCCTATTCATATTGCAAGGCTAACATTATGTACATAATTTCAATAATAAATAAAATAAACAACTTTACCAAGGACAAGTGAGTCTTCATGGATGACAAGAACAGTAGATTATTTCCTGATTATTTACAAACATGTATTATTACCTTTCACACTTTAATATTGTGGAAACATATCTATATTTTTATTTATTTCTGTATATTTTCCTCAGAAGAATGACAAAAATGCGTAATACCGCGTGCAACCCCCCTGCTAAGAGACTTGAACTAGTACAATAACTGTATATAACATGAAGTTTCCTGAACAAAATGGCGGAAATTTTAATAAAAAATGTTGATGTTTGATCGTAAAATACAAAAAAACTGCAGGTTTGTGCGAGTGACAACAAGTGAATTCGAACTCAGCGTATAAATATCTATAGATTCATGTAAATTTAAAGTAGTGCCCGAAGGGGGGCAACAAAAATCGTTTTCTAAGCGACTTTTGGGGCCAGGGAATACGGCCTATATGTGCATTTTAGCGTGCTTATTCAATTACATACGCCAGAATACAAATAGCAGACCTACAAAAACAGGCTTTATTCAGTTTATAAATTAAGACGCTGCACAGGAAACAAAAGTAACCTTAACAACAAAAAACCCATGCAATGAAGATGAAGTTTTTCTCTAGGAAAATATATTGCATTTCGTTTTAGAATATACTGAATATCACAAATATGTAAAATTCCTAATAGATTTCACGATAAGCCATATAAAGGACAGACAATTTTACTCGTCAAGGGGAAAGTGCTGGCACTCAAATGGGTTACGCTTGTTGTAATAGCAGACACCGGATCGTTTTCCCCGGAACTTAGCTGTTTATAAGGTTATTTTAAAAATCTTCAATTTATTACAGTAATCGAAGTCCTTAGCTCGCAATCTTGAGATGAAATTGAGACCTCGTGTCTTCTTCTCTAAATCTGTCTATTTTCTATCATGAATGCCGCGACGATTTTCAGGTTTGGAGATACCCATCAGGAATGGCAACTTATTTACAAAGCCACCAAAGATGGATTCTCTTCACAAACATTTCATGAGAAATGCGACGACTTTCCAAAAACATTTACCGTTGTGGAGGTACGAAAACAGTCATATGAATAATGTATTGAAAAACTATCTGTTGTTTGAATTTCTGTTTCTGGCGCATGCAAGTCAAATGAAGACATATGTTTGTGATGTTGTCTCTGCACTCTTAAAAAGTGTATACTAAAGCAACACACCTTTTATGTCCAGAAAACAACACACCTTAAGGTGTAACATGTTACAGTAACACACCTTAAGGTGTGTTATTCGCTTGTCCAGAAAACAACACACCTTTAGGTGTGTTTTGAGAAAAGGTGTGTTTGTTAGCACGCCTTGGTGTGTTGCTGTGCTGTGCACGCCTTAAGGCGTGCTACAGTAACACACCTTAAAGTGTGCTGCTGTAACACACCTGATTGATTAACCTTATAGAAATCAATAAAGACACTTTTAAGTCAAAATAATTTATTATCCAAGGCAAGCTGAAAAGTTCGCTTGCACGCGGTGGGAATCTCAGATGGTAGAGCATAGAGCATTGGACTAGCAAACCAAAGCTCGCGGGTACGAATTCAGGGGCGTAGGAAGCACCTGGAGTTTGGGGGGGCACCGGCTTGTAGGGGCACATTACTATCGGAAAGGGCACCTAAAAAATTTTTCCCGGAAATTTCTCCTGAGGAAAATTTTCCGTCGTATCATACCGAAATTTATGTTTGTGACCTAATTTTTAAAAAAAATTTTGTAAATTTCCACACAAAAACGGCACCTATTGTTTTAATTTAGTATTTACAGCGACATTAGCTTCTACAAAAGGGGCACTTTTCCTCACAAAAAAGGGCACTTTTCAACACAAAAAGGGCACTTTTTATCACAAAAAAGGGCACTTTTAGTCCTTTAAAAAAATTTGGGGGGGCACGTGCCCCCCGTGCCCCCCCGCTTCCTACGCCCCTGGGTACGATTCCCACCGCGGTGAAGTAAACTTTTTAGCTTGCCCGGTGTGGAGATACTCAGAGACAACATTAGAAACATATATTTTCTCCCGAGTGCATGTAAACACCAAAGACGAAAAAATATATATTGCTTAATATTTACACTTGCAACTGTTGCTGCGATTCCTGGTACGATATTCTTCTTCTGATGCATGTGAATGAGTAGATTATGTTATGAATGCTCCAAGCATTGCAGTATGACGTATCATCAAAAATTAATCCGCCATTTTGGGTGGCAAAATCTTTTGTTCAACCGACTGCTACACAGCTGTGGACCATTATGAATCTTTAAAGTGCTCAAACAAAAGCATATAAGCCGCAGTCAGCGCCACATCTTCCTTTTAGTTTGCTTTTAATTAACTATTTTTAATTTGCCACCGAAAATGGCGAAGTCAACAAAATAACAAATATGTGTAGTAACGTCACTCGCAACTGCCCAGAGGTATTTTTATGCGTGTATATCAATTTCAGGGATACAATGGCTGTATTTGCGGAGGTTATAGTGATGTTCCCTGGAAATACGACAATGGCAGTGGGAAATACAGTCAATCTTCAAGGTAAGGGCTCTAATTCTTTTTTATCCCAATTGTCAGTAATGTCCAAAATCATACGCACAATTAATTTTCTTCTCTTTTTAGTTGTTTCTTGTTTAATTTGGTAAACTCTAAAGACCTTGCACCCACAAGATTTGATATTATTCGACCAAAATATGCAACATTGAGCCATACCAGGTAAGTGTAGTATAACTACTATCGTCGCATCAAATAAAACTTACTAAAGCTACGAATAAACATGTTTGCCGAAGGTGGACAAACCAGAAAACATTGTTTCCTAGCCATATTTTGCGAAGGTGGGAGAACCATGAAACATTGTTTCCTAGCCATGTTTGCCGAAGGTGGACAAACCAGGAAACATTGTTTCCTAGCCATGTTTGCCGAAGGTGGACAAACCAGGAAACATTGTTTCCTAGCAATGTTTCCTGAAGGTGGGCAAACAAGGAAACATTGTTTCATATAGCCATGTTTCCCAAAGGTGGAAAACCAGGAAACATTGTTTCCTAGCCATGTTTCCCAAAGGTGGAAAATCAGGAAGCATTGTTTCCTAGCCATGTTTCCCGAAGGTGGACAAACCAGGAAACATTGTTTCCTAGCCATGCTCCCTGAAGGTGGGCAAACCAGGAAACATTGTTTCCCAGCCACGTTTCCCAAAGGTTTCTGGAAGTAAGCCAACCAGGAAACAGTTCAGGAAATATTATTTCCTGGCTATGTGTGCAAACCAAGAAACCGTTTCCTAGTCGTGGGCAAACATGGTCAAATGTTTCTGGAAAAATGTTTTCTATTCTGAACACACTCGTATACATCAAGCATACTTTCAGTTCCTTATTAATTCACATGTACTACTCCTGTAGCCTTGGTCCTACATTTGGTGCTGGGCCTGATTTGTCAATTGCTCACGACTGTAATGTGAATACTGACTCCGGCTCCAGGCTTTCACACAGCTACGGTGGAGAGCACGGTTCACCTACATCACTCATGGGAGCTGCTGAATTTAAAATCGCTGATTATGAAGTGTTTGCGCCAAAAGAATGCAAATAACCCTAAAGGAATGTTATTCATCTTGCTACCAAGAGATTTCGTTAGATTTTACGTGCGTTCTCTTTTTGGATCGCAATTATAGAAAACAGGTCGGATTATGTAAGACATTGTATTTTCTTCATTATACACATCTAGGCCAAAAAAAAATATGTGGGTTTCTGGTTTCCCGACCCTACCTAGCTTTTGGACGTCGAAATCCCGACCCTAAACTTTTTTGTTGGATCATGGTTGTAAGTGTTTCCACTTAGAGGAAAAAGTTTGTGAAAAATTGAAATCTGAGGCAATATTAGGGAAATTTATCTTTGGATGTGGAAGCACTGACTAAACAAAATGGCGTCCGCTTATTCGGAAAATTAAAAAAAAGTTTTAAAAAAAAAAGTTAAAACCGACCTACCCTACCTAAGTTTTTATAAGAAGAAACCGGAAACACACATATTTTTTTTTTTGGCCCTAACAAAATCTCGTTCGGAAAAACGGCTGAAGTACTCTGTAACTACTGTATATGTAACTAAGATATTGTAAACAGGTCAGTTAGAAACCTAAATCCAACAATTTTTTATTTGACCTAACCTTACAAAGACTACAAAATTGCCACAGAGATGCGCAATTCCTTTAACATTGCAAAACCTAATTTGAGCGTGACCACACTACAGTATGTCCCTGACCAACAACCACCATTATTTAACTAGCTAAAGCCTGACGCACATGAGAACATATGGCTGAGCTAATCATCAAGCAAGCGTGGCGGTTAGTTTAGCTCTTTACGTTTGTCGTAAACATAAAGTAAAGCAGGGCCTTTTCGTCAAATCTATAGGGTTTGGGATATGCTTATCCACTGGGAAATTTTTAAAGTCTAAGGTATTTACAACACAATGTTTAGTATTTTTAGGTTATATAGTTACAAAAGGCTCTGAAGTAAAGTGCTAAACTAATATTTTACTTCGCTCTAAATTTCAAAATGGCGGCAAATATCACGTTATTGGTTACTACAGTATATATTACGAAAGTCACGGAACTGTGGAATCGCATCAAAAATTCGTATATCGACCACTCCCACAAACCTCTACGACCGCGCCTACATAGTTTTGCATGTTTACAATTCTAATTTTGAACAGCCAATCAGGTTCTTGGTAATTGGCTGTTTAAAATTAGAATTGTAAACATGCAAAACTATGTAGGCGCGGTCGTAGACGTTTGTGGGAGTGGTCCACAGTTCGGTAACTTTCGTAATATTCACAGCTGAGCTTAAAACTCACAACATCCGCACACGTTGCGATCCTTACCTCGCATGGACAAAATAATCAAACACGATAGAATTTTTCTTCACGGCGTTAGATTGTGTGCACACGATATAGCGATTTTCTCAGCTAAATTAAAGCTCTCATGTGTGACAGGCAGGCTTCAGCTTTCATATTCAAATATACTAAACTCCTTGGATATCACAGAATGGCATGAATGACATCAATGAACGAAGAATGGCATGAGAACAAGTTCATTTCATTGTGACCAAACTGCAATCTCTCTAATTAATAACCATCTTGAATTGCCCCTTTCATCCACATTAAGTGTAGTGATAGTCATCTTAACACATTTCACATTTGGCAACTCAACAGTACCAGAGTCAATTTTTCCACTGCTTGCAGAACTCGATAGTAACTTATACCCTTGTTCGTTGCAATTCCCAGCTTTCGAACTATCAGTGGTCTCTAGTTTACATTCAGTCATAAGATCAACTGGTGCGAAATCACTTCCACTTTCAAAAACGATTCGAGTTAACGTTAGTTCTTTCATAAATTCAAGAACAACGAAATCGTTAAGCTTGACATTCTTGCCCCAGAAATAGCCAAGGTTCGATGATCTATATGGGCCGTCGATGGTATTCGATTCAAACACTTGGATGTTAGTAGAAATAAAAGCATTTGGGTTCGTGGCATCTACATAGCGTCTTTTGTTTGGACGGGGTTCAAACTTTTTCAATCCTCCTTCGACTCTACGAGTTTGACCTTTCAGCGACGATTCGCGACCAAGATGTCGAAATAATGCTGGACGATAAATGTCTTTCGGACTATTTCCGTATAAATGCACATCGTTATAATGCCGGAATAGAATATCGACAGGAAATATCCAGTAGTACATTTTAACAAATAGAGCCAGTCTGCCCAAATCAGATGTCTTGAAAAGCATACCAATGAACCCCGAAGTGCCAAATTGTAAATTTGACCACTTTGACCGACCACGTGCTTGAATAAAATTCTTCATTTCTCGGAAATATGTTTGCGAGACAGAAATATCGTCTTCCAATTGGAGGTAATAACGACCAAGTTTCCGACAGTAGGCAAACAATAATGCATAGTCAATGCATTGTTTTGAACGCCACTTAACACGATCTGGCTTATCCTTCCATAATGCAGGCAGGTTATCAAGTTTAGGATAAAATGATATGTCAGGTTTGATTACTTCAATGAGACCCGCGGCAACTTCGTTTGCAAATTCGTTCTTGATAAAATTTACAGTCCTATCATTTGGCCCTAGATCGAAGTTTGCACTGAAGACAACAATATGGCATTGTTTTGTCTCATTTTCGTTCAGATATTTCACTAAATGTCGTAGTGTGGATGAGATATAGTCTGTAGTGTCTCGTTTCACTGTAGGAATGCCAATCACAATGTCCACTGGAAAAAAAACAAGCTATAGCTTCAGTTCTTCCGTAAGTGCAGGGTTTTATTATGGATTCATATCGAGATCTTGGGCATCTCGTTCGATACAAGTGATAGCAGATGAGTTTTTGTAGATGGAATTTTTTGGAACGAATTTTATAACCAGGAGCAGTTGCGAAAAATGCAACTACAGCCTGCGAATACAGGTCGTCGTGAATCAGGCCGGCTGTATTCGCAGGCTAGAACAGTACAAGCCCACCAGCAGGAATCGAGCATGCGGGGAGGGGGGAGGGGGGGAAGGAAGGTCAAAAAAAACTTTCCGGACATACCAAAAATTTTCCGAAGATACCGTAATTTTCGCGAACATACAAACATTTTTCCAGACATATCTTAATTTTTAGGAAAATACTAAAAATTTTCCAACAGATATAGTTATTTTTCCCAATTCACTTTCTCATGCCCTGAGAATTACCTGAATATCTACTGGAAATCTACCTGAATTTACCGGAAAATCTACTGGAAATCTACCTGAAATTGCTCATGAGCAATTATTAGGGGGTGTTGCAACCGCCCACACCCCACACCCCCGGCCCCAGGTGCAGCGCTCCAACCGAGCTACAGAGTCCAGTTGTTGAGCATTAACCACATAAGGCGATACCAGTAGGAGAGATATGGGTAAATACAACCTCGGTAAAGATCCTGGGAACGAGGTTGGGGTAAATATCGAGGTCAACGGTCAATGGTTGGCAATTGGACTCTGTAGCAAAGTTGGTCGGAGTAGTTTCTTGCTTACAATTTACAGATATGTTGAATAAATGTGATTTAATAATTACTGTATATAAAATATAAATCCCCGATTCTCTTGAATGCTGTGATTATGTGAAAGACAAAATGGAAATTTTTCACATTTGAATATTCGATTGCTTTTTTAATTTTTATATTCATTATCAAATACTTGCAATGTTAGACGTTTGCAGCAAAATTAAGAATTTGCTTTATTCAATCAAAGTACTGTATTAAACTAAAAAATTATTAATATTGGACTTATGTATCGATCAACTTCGCCATCCCCCCACCGGGCCGACCCCGGGAATTTGAACTTTTTGAAATTTGACTGATCAAATTCTCCACCCCCTGTGCAAAAAAAGTCTTCAAATGCCCCACTGTAACAAGAAATTAAGCGTTCAAATGCCCCACCTTCATATGAAAATTATGAAACAGTAAATACAAAAAGTACAAAATATACGGAAATGTTTTTCGACAAGATAGCGAAACTCACGTAAAAAGTTGGATACCTTGTGGAAATTTAACAGTTTTACACAATTATGTAGTACATACCTTCAAACGAAGCACATTGATTTTCCATGCCCGTTTCTTTGAGCCAGTTTTTCACAAAATTAAGGCCGTTTCCCTCGAAATCTGAATTTGCCACCAATGCGAAGTATTTTCTGTGCATGCAGGAAGCACGCGAAAACGGGCAAAATTTAAGACTTCCGGTTCAAATTCCCCACCCCGTTGAATTATACTTCAAACATTTAAAAGTAAAATTTTGTTTAATTTTTGCACCCCCTTCCACCGTTGTTGACCAAGGCCAACAGGGATGCACACCCTCCCCCCCCCTATAAATCCACCGCTGCTTACCATAATTAAAAGATCTACAGCACTGTAATGCGAATCTCACCTGGCTTGACTGGAGATCGACCAACCATGGACATGAGATTACGATTGAATTTTAATTTACTAAATGCATGATCAAGACTATCTTCTTGTTTCTTGGGGGAGTTCAGCTTGTCGCTCCAATCTACGAATACCTCCACTTTACTTGCATTACCACTATCTTTATCACTTGTTTTCACCACTGTTGGAAAATCTAAGTAAAAAATTGTTTGACACAATATTTTAGATTTAGAATAAAAATTTTGATCGTCTTTGAAAAACTAACTCATGCATGTTTTTCCCAAATTGCACTCGAAACCATACTATTATTACCTATACAAATGTATTTGTTGCAGTAAGATGCAATGCGCCCTTTGTATTATTTCTCTGTCTAATGCCAGACGATTTTACACGTCAAATAGAGAGCGCTGGCATTTAATGCTGCAATGCACCAAAATGCATCCTATATACTTTATTTTTACTCTAAAACACTCTGATGCCGGACTATTTTACTAATCGAGAGTAGAGTATTGTGCAATAATGGGTTAAATGTCTCGTCAGTTGTTGCAATGCACTAGGTGCACTCAGCTTTATTGTTTTACACTGTCTGCATGAAAAAACCCAGGCATTAACCCTTTAAGCGTCATTGCACCCTGATGCACCCTACTTTAGTATTTTACTCTGTCTAATGCCAGACAATTTTACTCCTCAAGTGGAGAGTGCTGCCACTTAATGGGTTAACCAAAAAAGCTAATTAATTTTATGATTCACAGTTTCCTTTTTGATAGCATGACTCACGAGGAAATCACAAACCGAGGGGTAAATTACTCTGAAAAAAGCGTACGAAGATTTTTGAGATTAGAAAATCCCGGCAATTTTTCTTGCGATTCTGGGATTTTTTCCCCGAAATTTAAGGGATTTTGGGATTTTTTTCAGCTGATTTTTTTGGAAATATTTCCCCTTATTTTTTTCGCCGAACTTTTTCCGAACTTTTTTGCGAAATATAATCTAACGAAGGACATTTTCACGTCAATTCACGATTTAAATGATTGGATTTCTCAATATTGCAATAATTTTGAGGATTTCATCGGGCTTTTTCCAAGTATTTTATGCAATTTTTAGAGATTTCTTGGGATTTGGGGATTTTTCCAAAGATTTATTTTTTATTTTTGATGAAGTGTACGAAGATTTTCAGAGTAATTTACCCTCGTCACAAACATTGTAGCCGCTTTTCGCTCTAATTAATACTACTTTGGGTTTTGATAAAATTCCCATGTGGTTGCTTAAAAGATCAATTCACCTTTAATATTTGCTGTCCAGTAACTTGCATAATTAATATAATTATCCATTTATACAGGTACTGTATTGTACCAGAGTGGCTAAAAATGTTTTGACATGAACTAATTAATTTTATGATTCACAGCTTCCAAGTATAATATAGGACTAACCTATTTTGTGATTGTCGTTCTGGTTCACCACAGATATTTGTTGAATTTCTGGTTCCTTTGTATGCTGAACAAGTGGGGAATTTGTTTTAACATTCGCCTTTGGAGCTATGAGATACGAGATATAGTGTCATATTGGTAATGAATAATCCTTAGACCAAAGAAAAAAATACCTGGGTTTTCCGGTTTCGCGACCCTACCTAGCTTTTGGCTGCTATATTTCCTGACCCTACTCTTTTTATCTGACATTTGCAAAAAGTTTGGAGCAATTTTTCAAACCCAGTTCGTGGCGTTAGTTTTGAACTATCTATCGTGGCATATTTTAAATTAGCTTTGATAATCTAATTAACAATCACCGTTTTGATTGGTTGTTATTTTTGTGCATCCAAATCACTGTCCAGATTTTATTGGCTTCGGCAGCAGGCTGTAGGGGTGCACCGGAACCAATTTTTTAAGTTCCGGCCGGAACCGGATCTGAGTCATATACCGTATAGACATATGTTACTTTGTCCGCTGCCAGACAGGCAGACACTTCAAGTCATCAAGGAGAGAGCTCACAAATGTTAGAATAAAAAGATTGACAAACATTAAACGTCATAATGAAGTGTTAATAGTGTAGATTTTCCTTGCATAGTCCAAATTTCTTTCTACTGTGCACTTTTGTTAGACACAAAAACGTTTGATATTCTATCTCTCTGAAAATGACAGAGTTCCGGTTCCGGCCATGTTTTTTTTATTAGTTCCAGCTGGAACCAGAACTCTGAAAAATCGGGGTTCCGGCCGGAACTAAACGGCCGGAACTGAGTTCCGGTGCACACCTAGCAGGCTCTATTTCAAGCATAAGAGCCTGACACACAGGTTGTCGATGCTATGAATAAACCTATTCCTATTCTCTCACAAAATTCTCAAGCACGTTGTTTCTAGTTGTAACTAACTGAAATAACCTGGAACTTTCAGATAATCTGATTAGTACCATTTGGACCGTCTTGCACATTCCAGATATGAACAAAAGAATTTTAATTAACCCTTTAAGTGGTTAATTAGGTGGCAATGTGTCCGTTCAGGATAACCGAGGTGTAAAAATGATTGAAATAGTATAGGCAAATCCATGGGAAATGGATTTAAGTTTAAAATAAGATAACAGATAGTTCGATAGTATTTCATGTAAAGAGTCTGTTACCTTGAGCAAAAGATGAAACAGACATATATGCTGATGGTAAACTGTTTGCAACATCATTCTTGAAGTTCAATGGACCTGAAATAAATTTTAAAATGGAATATTTCCAGCTATCGAGTCCCATGCCATAAATATGCAATTTACCTGATTTCCTGAGGCGGATTTAGCCTCAACTGCAAGGAGGGGTGCAGGTTTACCATAGGGTCATGAGGGAGCCTTACTGCCCACTCTCTGCAACCAGGGGTGGATCCAGCAAGGTTTTTTCTAGGGGTGCTGGGCAAGCAGCAGAGTGTTTCTTGTAATTATTTAAGGGGTGGTGGGAGAATATTCAAATGAATTGGCTTCCTAACGATCTGAGCGCTGAAGGCGTGAGCTCCCTAGGAGGTCCAGGGGTATGCCCCCAGAAAATTTTGAAAATTAGAACCCTAGAAATGCCATTTTCTGTGATATGAGCATTGAATTATGAGCTTCAGTTTGACTTCAAAAAAGGAAAAACCTTGGGAATTGTGCCATATTTCTGAACTTGATTTTTTTGCACCCCTCTTGAACCCCTGTTGACCAAGGGCAACCCACCTATAAATCCACCCCTGTCTGCAAAGCTACTACCGTATCCCAACATTATCCCCCACTGATGGCACGTGTTGATGCGCAGAATATATGCGCAGAATATAATACAGCATCTTTAAAGTACAGTATACTTGAAAATACAGTATGTACTTGAAAGATGTGTGGTGAACTCTTCTCTTGGTTGCACTAGGATGCTGGGTTTAGTGTATATATACTGTATGCTCTCTTGCAGGCATCGAATTTCCCTGAAATTAATCAACGGCAATGGCGTTAAAAATTGCCGTAGAACATAACAGGTGTCTATGGCAATTTTGGCAGTTTCCACAGCATTTTTTCAAATTAATAAAAATTTAACTTTATTGTTACTTTGGATTGTTGACAAGCTAGAAACACGTTTACACATTTCTTTAAGTGTTTTTTTTAGAAGAAAACTGAGACTAAAATAGTAATGCACAGTGAATAGTATAAAAATTACACTATACGGCAAAAAATGCCGTTGTTGCCGCAATAATCCACAGCATTTTGTTCTCCCTCTACGCGGCAATTGCCGTGATAAAATTCAAGCCCTGCTCTCTTGGATTATCCACCAAAACCCTGCATTCTATTTAAAAATATTGCTGTATAACAACCTCGACATGTTTAAATATTTAACCATGATATTTCATTAACCAAAGGATTCTGAGTATTTTCTTGTGAGCTCACAAATCAATTAAATTGTTGCAAGACATCGATACACGTTAACAGTAGAAGTTCCTCCAGTCGCTATTCCAAAAATCAGAAAATGTATGAAATTGAACGTGCAAACCTCAATAAAATGTGGGATCCTCTGCAGCAGGTACAACCTACTGATCTGTTCTTTTACATATGTAACATTTTAATAACATCTTCTTATTCCTCCCAAGTGAAAAATCTTGCATATCAATGTGGTAATGAGCTTATAATTGCGGTAACAACATTTCGGCATCATCGGGAGATTTTTGGGCAGTTTATTGTCATTTCGGACATCCAATATCTAGTTAATTATTAGCTACGTGGTCATTATTAATTAGTAATTGTTTTCGATAACTATGACAAACATCGGTTTCAAACACAAAATATTTGAAAGATTCAGCAAAATATTTTTCATTAAAAGTTTACACTGTATCAAGAAATTACCAAATATATTCCCAATGAATTAAAGATCAGTAGAAACGGTATTTTGAATTAAGTTTTTTACAGGAATGCAAAATGTTCTGGTGGAAGGGATTGACATTGATTGGTTGATACAATAGCAACATTGTAGATTTGACATTATTATTTGTACAACGAAAGACATATACTGCATTCTCTTACCTAAATACACAAGAATAATGAGAGTATTAACCAGTGACAACAGCAAGGCAATCAGAACAGCAGGTCCAATCTTACAAGACCTTAGTCGAATCATTAAAACTTGTGAAATTTGAGTGACCTCCCTTTCCAGCTGCGCTCGGCGATGTGGCCGTAGTCCTTGGGTATTTTTGAATTATTTTACCACAATGATGAATTTTTCCTTATTAGACCAAGTTCAAGAAATGTCCACTGTTGTGCAAGGATTATGAAATGACCTGGTCGTCTTATAAAGCGTCATTGAACCGTAAAAAAGTTCAAGTAGCTGTTCGAGACATTCAAGCGGCCATATTGTGATTGTGAAATAACTTTATCTGTCAGCTTGATGTGACGTCACAAGCATGCTCATTGTCACCACTGGTGTTCACATTCAGATCCCATCGCGGGATAGCATAACTGCGTAGCGACGCAAAAAACCGTGACGGAATTTACAACTTTCCGAACTGAGAAAAACAACGTCTCTCCGTTGCAAGGTACGGATGGGTGTTTTTTCACGTCGCTACGGAAAGTTTTGTGTGCTATCCGGTACAGCCTTACTGTTAGCCTGCGAGCGGGAGAAGAGAGGGCGACGCCCATAGATGGCGACGCCTAGTGTGGAGTGGTTGCTTTTGTAAGAGGGTGTTGATGAAGTATATCATGAGTCGTGATTGCTCAGCTCAATTTCGGTTACCGTCAGTCGTGAAAACACTAAAAATTTTACCGTGAAGCGTAAGGAAGAAAACACTGTTTATCGTTTCAGAACACTTTTCAGATTTACATTTTAATATTATACCAAATTTTTTACCGTTAAAATACCAAAAATTTTACTGTTTACTGATTTTCAGAAACACCCCCCCCCCCCACATCTAGACTCTCTTGTAAACCAGAACAATTGTGAATTGGGTATAATGATAAAGTAAAATATAAACAATGGAGATTGGAGAGTCGCCAACGTACATTCTTCGATCAGTACCAACCTGCACCAAATTGACATGACGTCATTATCGGAAAGTGTGTTTAAATGGCTATGTAACCAGGGGCGAAATTAGCCCCTTTTAATTCGGAGGGTGTCTGCCAGAATTGCCCTGCCAAAACCGATGATGCCCTACAGCAAATTTTTATTTCTGGCCACTATTTTTTCGGAAAAATTTTTCCGGACAAAAAAAAGGGTCAAAAAATTTTTCCGGACATAAACCAGTTAAACTAAGGGTAAAAAAATTTTTTCCCGACAAATTCCTGTTAAAACATGGGTGAAACCCTTATTTTTGGACCAATATCTGTAAAATTTAGGTCAATAAATTCTATTCAATTCCCTCTGAAAGCCCTGTAAGTTACTTCATAACTCTACATTCTATCATTTAAAATCTTTGATTGCCCTGCCAATTCTTCCTTTTCGAAGTTCGACTAGTAATTTGCGGCCTCGCAAGCAAGGATCTCTACTTCCGCTTCCCTCCCAAACACGCGGAAGTACAAAGCCTGGCTTGCGAGGTTGGAATATTTGCCGGATTTTTAAAGTAGGATCAGTGCCCAATTTTAAGGTAGAATCTGCCCGATTTAAAAATGATCCCCCCCCCCCGCAATCCCTTTTGTTCTGTGAATCAGAAGGCCATATTACAGGAGGCAATATTTGCTACAACTTTCAACGCAATTTCTGACATGGAGCCATGTTGCGGCTAAAAAGTAGTCGCAGGGAAATTGTGAGTGACGGTTTATTCTACCGACATTTTTCATCCCTTTATCTTGTCTTTATTGAAGAGTATGTTATGTAGAGAAAGTGTCGGCAGAGTAGAGCCATGCTCACGACTCCTGCGACTACATCACATCAGGCTGATATGGAGAACGTTAGTATGATTTATAAAATACCATATTTACCATTACCATAGTTATACACAATCCGGGTAAAATTCAATATATATAATATATATGCGTGCTATATAAAGTTCTATTGAGATTAAAAATTTCGCCTTTCATAAAAGTAATCCTACTAACCTATATATAGGCTATACATGTGTCATTGCATATCTATACTTATAAAGTTCTTTGTATCTGACTATATTAAAATATTAATATGTCCACGTACTCTGGTGAACAAAACACCTTACAAGACATCTTGATAACAAGCTGTTGAAACAGCATTCACTTTGGTACACTGGTAAAATGTTTCCAGTATAATACAGTTCTACTAAATACATGAATATTAAAATTTCATTTTCTATAAAAATTAATCATAGTAACCAGAAAAGATCACTGGTACTTTAACCACTTGATCTTCGTTAAAATATACTGCCCAAATATTATCGCTGTATTTCCTAACTTTACCAATATCACCTTGTAATGTGTGTTCTTCAAACACATGAGATGAGAGCTCGTAATTCACAACAGTTTGTACATCGTATTTGGCTTGAACTGGACTGACATATCGTCTCGTGCCAAGTGTTATATGGGTGCTTGCATTGGTACAGTGCTCAGGTCGTTCCGATGATTTCCCATTGTCGCCTAGCGGCAAGTGTTGAAATGATTTTGTCATCTCTTCAACAGAATGCTCATAGCGTGTTGAACGACCTGTAAGAACTAGTAAGAATATATGTATCATGAAGTAGCAGCGCATTCATGCTCTACAACTATCTAAAAGATTACACACTACAGGATTCTGTGGGTAAGGGGGCGGTTATTATATATGGCGGGGGTGGCACCGAAGGGAAAAGGGTTGGATAAACAAAATTTTGATTGAGTGAGAGGTTGGGTAAATGAAAAACACAACAACTCAAGGGTTGGGTAATAATTAACAAATATAAAACATGTTCCATGTTGATATACAGTTATATCAACACGAGTGGAAATTGGGAAAACGAGTGTTTTCACACAATTTCGAGTTTTCCCAATTTCCACGAGTGTTGATATAACTATATATCAATACGGAAAAAATGTTTTATATTTGTTTTATAATATAGCACAAAGAAATAGAAAGAAAGAAATTTTCCGACGTTTCCGTGTTGACATTGAGTTATATCAACACGGCTCTTAGCCAATCAGCGTTCAGAATCTACACTGAATGCTATATTATAATTGTTAAATGTAAATCAATCAATCCGAGTCACTATCTCGATCATTTTCCGATTTGTCAGGAGCCAAATGGTGTCTCCAAAGAAAGTACATGTGCAGATAACATGAAACTTTACTGACTGCAGAAAATGACATGAAGAAACAGTTGTTGCACTAAGTTGTAAAGGACACGTGTGACAACTGAGTGGTATATCCTTTTGTAAAGTTTTTGATCAGGGATAGTGTATGTAGTATTTTTCTATTGATATTTGAAGTTGGGTAAAAATATATTTTGACTCTTTAATGGTTGGATCAGCAAAATTTTTACCAAGAAAAACATTTCTCTTCGTTGCCTTAGTTTGACATTTGGTCTTGAACAGAAATAAAGCAAAGATGAGGCAAATCGCGGACCCTATGTCCACGGACAGTCTTCATAATAGAGAGTTCAAGCTTCGCGTTTATACGTCAAACGCCAGGCAAAGAAAAATTTTACGGTATCAGGCAATAAAGAGTAAATGAACTTGTTGTTTTCAAATTGCAATGCATAATTATTCTTTTGGCACAAGAAAGAAAATATGAAACGAAAACGTTCAACGAAAATTTTGCCAAGAAAGTTCGAACCTGCCGTTTGCCGTTGCCAGGAAACGTCTTAAACTCCCTATGGACCTGATGCGTGGATCGGACCACTCTCAATTAGATATATTTACAGTAACCAAATGTGACGGTAGTTGCATGTAGTGGAAGTCAATTTGAACCGGCCTCTAAAAAACCCAAACCCCATTTCCCAGTTCTTCTTTAAGAAATCCCAGTCACACTGTGAAATTGATCTCAGAGCAGATAGTTCATCTATATGATGACTTTTTAACACAATTCTGCGTTCAACAGCCCTCTTTAGAACCAGTTTTGCCGAGAAAGAGGTGTATGCATCACAATAGCAGAAAAATGATCTCATTGAGTCATAAGTCGGTCAAATTTTCTGGTCTTGTTTATACAAACTCTCTATCAAACATTGCTCTGTGTACCTGTTCTTAAAGGGCATATGACTCGAAAATTGACATTGTTATTTTTAAGTCTAATTTGAAAGATCATTGAAAACTGTAGAGTAATTTCTTTGATAGATTTTTGTTTTCTTGCTTCGTTTTGAAGATATTTCATTTTGTATGATATGCAAAGGACCAACTTCCTACGTCACATATGCATAATGAAATATTTAGCCCTGAAAGCTGTATGTCTTAATACGACTAAACACAATCAGTAGAAAACCTACATGGGTGTTGTTGTGGACAAATCTCGTGCTCATCATTCACTGAGCGAATGTATTTGATAGTGACAAAATTATATAACATTTTAAAGTAAGGGGCCATTCACAAAGGATGTCCGGCCAAATGATGGATTTTCAGATCCCCCCTCCCCCCCTTGTCCGGCATTGTCCGAATTAGTGACCCCCCCTCCCCCCGGACATCCGCCATGCCTCGCAAAAACTCACGTAACCTTGTATATATCAAGAGTAAAAAACTTTTTTTTACTTTTAGAACTTTTTTATGGCATGTAGTAAAACACTGACTACCGGAACACCACCGGAACACCACCATTTTGTTTGGGGTTAGGGTTTGGGGTTAGGGTTAGGGTTGGGGGTTAGGGTTGGGGGTTAGGGTTGGGGGTTAGGGTTGGGGGTTAGGGTTAGGTGGTGTTCCGGTGGTGTTCCGTTAGTCAGTGTTTTACTACATGCCCTTTTTTATAACTGTAAATGTGAACACAAAAACATATAAATTACTAATTAAAACAAAATCTAGTGTTAACCGCATAGTCAAAATGCCAATTTCACAATGGGAAGGACTGCTCAAAATAGAGGGAAAAAGAAATTTGTTTTTGAATTTTTTTTAAATTTCGGACATCCGGATTGCTACCCCCCCCCTCCCTCCTCCCTATGTCCGAGTTTGTCCTGATTTTCCAAACCCCCCTCTCCCCCCTCGGCTCGGACATCCTTTGTTAATGGCCCCTAAGTCATTATGCATATGTGACGTAAAAGTTGGTCCTTTGCATATCATACAAAATGAAATATCTCCAAAACGAAGCAAGAAAACAAAAATATGCCAAATAAGTTACTCTACAGTTTTCAATGATCTTTCAAATTAAACATTTACCCCTTCACGACCCTCTTTTGTCGACACGGACGGGGTGCGAAACATTTTTTGAGGGAGGGGGGGGGGGGGAGTTGTGCATCCCGTCCACACCCCTTACCTCTTTTCCTCTGCGGCTGTTGTTCAGTTTGATTATCATTCATCCACAATGCACGCTGTTTCTCAGTGAGTGACACGCGAGCGCTGAATGTGTCTTTTGTGATAACACATCCGATGATCGACAACTGTGAAATTTCACCCAAAGCTTTCCCAACTGCAGGAGATTTATGATACGGCGAGCCAGCCAGGAATTTGCCTCGGGGTGAAAAACACGCTGTGACATGATAGTCTTGGCGATCAGAATGTTTGATTGAGTAGTAAAACAATGCATTATGAATTCGAACTGTGAAGTTCGGAGATGAATGGCCTATAATATTATAGAAACAATGTTAACTCAAATTAGATCAACACCCCCATCGACAAGTAAAATTGTCTGGCATTAGACAGAGTAAAATAGAAAAGACACATTCGAGCACACTGTGGCTAATATATAGGTTAACAATAGACAAGGACAGATAATCTGCTTAATCCATTAGCACTTATCATGCATATCTTCGAAATGAGTTCGGTGACTCCAACTATTTTTCTGTTTTCACATTTCTGTTTTTTTCTGTTATGAGCATATCATAAACTTCACCCCTGCGAAGTTTCAGCAAATTCTCATTTCCCAAACAATTATACTGATGAATCACCTTAATGAATAATGGGGTTAGCGAAAGAGATTGATTGATAATCTGGTTAACCTATTATAAATGTCCAACACGTCCCAATTGGCAATTGCTAATTAAGATCCTCTGCCACCAGACAAAATAACAAACAAGGTGAATATAGGGCAGCATTGCAGCTCAATATTTTAAAAATTATTTGCTAAAACAAAAATCCGTGCATGTCAGATCACCTGAGAATACTTTGATACATTGTTGAAAATCTGTAATTTGTAAGCATTTCCGTAAAATATCTTTCGCCGTTGTCCGCAGTGTCACACAATCTGCTTGTGATAAAAACCATCCAAAATAACAAGGCAAGATTTCATCATACTGCTCGAGTCTTCTACTTATCGTTGTTAATGGGACATTGTGGATATTTTTTGCCTCTAGCTCTCCGACATCAAGTTTCCAAGGTGTCTTCGGTTCAATTAAGACAACCACATAGCCATATTCTTTGGCTAACTTGATATACGGTTCCATTTCGGATTGTTTCACATTTGTGTTGTCTAAAAACAAAAGTTCTTAATCAGTTTCACTCACATATGTTAGTTTTTCTCCTTCCGATCCAAATTGATGTTTTGCCGACTGGGATACAATAATTTGCCGACTACCTGACGACTCTGATTACGGTATTTACCATATTCATTTTGAAATCATGTGCGATTCGAGCAATCTGATTGACTAAAAATAGTGCAATTACAGCCCAAATCGAACTATTTTAGAGCTGTGAATGTAATCGCACTATTTTGAGCTTTGCTCGTATCAGCATCAGTTGTAATCTAAGTGGTGACCTTAGATAGCCAATCAAAGGAAAGTGTGGAATTCGCTTAGCCAGTCAATTTTACTGTAAGAAAAATGTGATCTGGCAAATTGAGCAAAATAAACAAATCAGAGTATTGCCATCTTGGCTATTTTTTGCATGTAAAAACAAAATAAACTTTAAACTGTACTGCAGAGTTTAACAGTAAACTTTATTTGAACATGATTTATAATTATGGTAATTGCACTAGGTGGAATGCAATTTGGTCTAAAATCAAACGCGTGATTACAGAATCGCACGACCGCGAAGCGGGAGTGTCGCTTTATTAAGTTTCTTTTTAAAGGTATTTTCGCCATGTTTCACAAAGATTTTGTTCCTAATATGCCCATAATTATTTGTAAATTGTTTAAAAACAGATTAATTAAGTATCATTGGTAATCAGACTCACCTATTATTATGACAGGTTTGTTCAAGGCAGCATATTTCTCTGCTCGTTTTTGACATTTCCTATGTGTTTCTTGCAGAGCCTCTCTGCGAAAGACATACTCCCCATCCTTATTGCGATGATAATGATTAGCAGAACAGACAGTGACATGATCTCCACATTGTTTCATGGCGTCGGCTATGGTACTCTTGCCACTGCCTGGTAGGCCTCGCAAAATAAACATGACTCGGAAATGTGGCAGTAGGCGAACAGTTTCATCATGTTCGATAAATGGAAAGTCAAGATATTCTTGTTGCGCCATAGGTACAACCTCGTTGCTAGGCTCTTCCTTCTTGTGAGGGTCAGTATCTGGGATTGAGGTTGGCTTGGACGTTGCCATGCCACTTCTCCATGACTCTTTATGCCCACTGTGGGAACTACCCACATCCTTAGAAGTTCCTTGAGAATGATGATGCACTCTATTACCCTTATGGTGTTGTCCACGACCTCTCTGGCTCAAGCCGCGTCCTCGCTCTCTGTTGCTGATGAAGCCGCCCCTCTGGCTGTTTGTAGGATGTGATTCATCTTCATTTCGAACGTGGCTAGAGCCACGCCCTCGCTGTCTGTTGATGGAGCCGCCCCTCTGGCTGTTAGAAGGCGATTCACGTTCATTTCCAACGGGACTAAAGCCACGCCCTCGCTCTCTGTTGATGGAGCCGCCCCTCTGGCTGTTAGAAGGCGATTCACGTTCATTTCCAACGGGACTAAAGCCATGCCCTCTCTCTCTGTTGGTGGAACCGCCCCTCTGGCTGTTAGAAGGTGATTCACGTTCATTTCCAACGGGATTAAAGCCGCGCCCTCGCTCTCTGTTGATGGAGCCGCCCCTCTGGCTGTTAGAAGGTGATTCACGTTCATTTCCAACGGGACTAAAGCCACGCCCTCTCTCTCTGTTGCTGGAGCCGCCCCTCTGGCTGTTAGAAAGTGATTCACGTTCATTTCCAACGGGACTAAAGCCACGCCCTCGCTCTCTGTTGGTGGAGCCGCCTCTCCGATTGTTGGTAGGATGTGATCCACCTTCATTTCCAACGGGACTAAAGCCGCGCCCTCCCTCTCTATTGGTGGAGCCGCCTCTCCGACTGTTGGTAGGATGTGATTCATGTTCATTTCCAACGGGACTAAAGCCGCGCCCTCGTTCTCTGTTGAAGGAGCCACCCCTCTGGCCGTTGCTAGGAAGTGATTCACGTTCATTTCCAACGTGGCTAAAGCCACGGCTAGAGCTGCCCCTATGGCTGTTGGCAGGATGTAATTGGTATTCATTTCCAATGTGGCTAAAGCCACGCCCTTGCTCTCTGTTGAAGGAACCGCCCCTCTGGTTGTTGGCAGGACGTGATTGATGTTCACTTCCAACGTGACTAAAGCCATGCCCTCTGTAGAAGGGACCACCCCACTGGCTGTTGGCAGGATGGCATTGATGTTCATTTCCAACGTGACTAAAGCCAAGACTTTGCCCTCCATGGAAGAACCCGCCCCTGTGCATGCTGTTGGCAGGATGCGATTGAAATTCATTCCCTACATAACCAAAGCCAAGACCTTGCCCTCCATGGAAGAACCCGCCCCTCTGGCTGTTGGCAAGATGCAATTGATGTTCATTTCCTCCATAACCAAAACCAAGTCCTTGCTCTCCAGGGAAATACCCGCCCCTCTGGCTGTTGGCAGGATGTGATTGCAGATATTCATTTCCTACATAATAACTATAAAAGCCATGCCCTTGCTCTCCGTACAAGGGCCCGCCCCTCAGGCCGTTGGCAAGATGTGATTGATAGTCATTTCCTAAAAAAACAAAGATGCCCGCTAAGTTCCTTGTAGGTTTGCAACAAGTACAATCACCATTGCAACAAGTACAATAAAAAGCCTCCCTCTAATAAGCCCCATTTTAAATGAAAAGAAATTTATAAACCTTTCCTCTCTATTACAATATGCCCTCCACCCATCACAGCATTGAAACACAAGTGTACTGATTTTCATATTAGGTTTAATTGACCATTTACTGATACTCTACCACAGACGAGTATATTACGGACTTGACATGGTCTTTAAGCAAACATTTGAATTCGTCTTCGGTAGATGGAAATTATCGAGTGGAAATTTATATGTCACATTTATTAGACCTAACCAGGAACAGCTGCGAAAAACTTTAGGTCCCTGGCAGGAATCTAACCTGTGGCCATGCAGGCGCAGGTTCAAATTGCAGGGCCGTTGAGGTTCAATTCCTGCCAGGGACCCCAATTATAGTTACATTTTTCTGTTCCTGGTTAGGTCTGATAAATGTATATAAATTTCCACTCGATAATTTCCATCTACAAAACCCTTCAACTATATTATTCAATCAAGTGAGCTGATCAGTGATTGGTATTTGCAACAAAATCTTGATATTAATTAAGTAAATTAAGTGCCTGTGGGTGATCACAGAGGTTAAACGTGGAAATACAGTACGTTATATATATATATATATATATATATAGTGCCATGAGGTAGTGGTGCCAAGTTTGGAAATGCAATATGGATTTCATCATTTTCATGTCTGTTGTGTGGCTAAGGCATAAAAAAAATACCTGTGGTTCCGGTTCCCGACCGACCCTATTTTATTCTGCCGACCCTATTTTTTTTTTCAACGTGTTTTACCGTGCGACCCTATTTTCTCCAGGTGGTTGCGGGCTGCTCATACAGCGTGCCAAAATGACATCTGTTGTCACACTAATTATTGAACCAAATTACCTAAATTCGTCCATAGGAAATACGCATCTCTATAGTTAACATTGATGTCGGGACTCTACTACAAATCGTCCAGCAAAAAACCGCCAAAACCATGAAAAAAAATATTTAAAAAAAAATTAATTCCGACCTACCGACCCTAATTTTTTCACGATATGAAACCGGAACCACAGGTATTTTTTTTATGCCTTAAAGCATCATAGGCGTACGGGAGCGGAAATATTAGGGGGGACAAAACGTAATTTGCCTGACTTTTTGCATTTTGCCCGACTAATCAAATTTCCCTGCTTACTTCGGAATTATATAAAAATGTTTCACCATATTGCCCTATTTTCTTGCATTTTTTACTATTATTTTACATAATTTCTTGTTTTTCAGCTTATTTTCCCCAAATTACGTTCACCATTTGTGAGACTTAGTTCAACATTTGCCCAACTTATCAATTTTTCTGGGGGAGGCAGTTGCCCTCCCCCCTGCCTTGTACACCTATGCTAAGCATTGCCAGCCGAAATGGCAATTAGTTGGCTTGTATTTTCATATCTGAAACACTATGCCGCTGCTAAAATGTCTGACAGTTTAACAAAACAATTATCATAATTATATTTTTTTAAATTATTACCTTGGTTGTAAATTTGACTTGCATATCTAGGGTAGCCACGCCCATTGCTTCCTCGACTGATGTTCCCTCTTCCCTGCTGCCACCAATTTGTGTGACTCATCCTTGTTGAAAGACCATATCATATAATTCACATTGTAAGCAATATGAACATCCAACAATTGTTACTTACTATGATTCATCATGATTTTATTATATTGGATAATGGCATAAAAGACTCAATATAATGGCGATTGAACCTAGAATATACAATTATTAAGAATAAACATATATGTCTGTCTCATCTTGCTATGGAAGTCATGGAAGACAGACGCAAGACATGTAGTTAGAAATTGGTATCTGGTCAATTTGTCCCAGTAACCATTTCATAGGGATGGCCGATACTGACACCTAGCAACTTGTGGAATTTAGTATTGATGATTTCAATACCACTTGAGACTCAGAGATGTGTTTGGCTTGCATTTATAAAAATCACAGAATTTATTGTTTTCAACATTAGTCCAGGACAGAGGGATCAAAATGTAAATGTGTGACTCTCACACCAAATGTGGGACACTTTGCTGTTCAGGAATCAGGTATTTAGCACTGCTAACTTGACATAAGCACACAACTGACCCAAGTGCACCTGTGTTTATTATTTTACTTTGTCTAATGCCAGTCAGACAATTTTACTTGTCGAGGGGAGAGTCTTGCACACTAATATGTTAACCAATCTGCCATTGGCCTTTTACAGAATACTCTAATGCCACACAATTTTACTTAATATTAATATCTATGAATATGGGAGTGTCTTGCAGATTAATTAATTTTCAAAACGCCCTAACTAGCGCCCTGAATGTCCAAGGATCATGACATTTTTGGTATAAACTAACTTGAGAATGGAGATTTCAATTCTGCGGTCGATTTTTGGTAAAGATTTGTTGTTTATAGTGAATACAAAATACTACTCACTAGCGAGATAAAAAATGACGTCGACTCGAATCGCAGAATTATTTATAGTCATAGAACGCTTGCTTGCGTTGTTTACATTTCCAGAAATTTCTTGCAGGCAAAATTTTTGAAAAGGGGAGCCCCGTTACTGTAGTATGCGTTGTAGAATCACAACGGTGAAGACTATTTTCACTTTTGTATAATCTTAAATTTCCCTTCCGGCCAAGTTCCGGGATTGCATTTTCTGAAATTGAGAATCGATGATCATTTTACAAATAGAATACACTACTTTTATATTATAAACTTCGATTTTATATAACTTTTCAAGCTATCTATGAAACTATCTTACCTTGTAAAAGCATTATCATGAAACCAGACTGTCAAGGACCTTGGTTGGTTCCAGAGGATCTTAAAAAACGGCGAGACAACTGGGCAATTAAACATCCGATCTTCGTCTATCGTCACAAAACAAACAAAGTCAACAAAACACATTTCGCAGAACAGCAGGGTGCTTCAGACACGAAAAAATAGGCACGTTGACATATCGTAAGACAAGGTACAGTAGAGCTTCTGCTTGTGAATTGAATACATTGAAATAGTAACATAGGCAGCCCAGCAAAATGTGTAAAAATGCATTAAACGCTTAACAATGACGTAAACATCGGAATCTGCATGTATAATGAGCTACACAAATAAATCGCTTGATAGCAAATTGTGACGAACTTTATACGTATTTTTAAGCGTTTAATGCATTTTTACACATTTTGCTGGGCTGCCTATGATAGTAATTATAAAAATATAAAATAGTAAAATACTGAAAATTTCTGTCAATTGATAAAAAAGCCAAAATAGCCCAAAAGGCCAAACATGGAATAAAAAAAGCCAAAATCGAGTTATTTGGCCACAAAAAAAAGCCAGCCAGAAAATGGCGGTGAAAATGTTTACCCTCGCATTATTATGGCAAAGACATAATAATAAACAAAGTAGTAAAATGTCAGTATACTATATATATAACACATAACTACTTTTTTTTTCTGTGTTGGTGTTGTGTACTCAGGTGTGGATATACACTCAGGCCCTGTTTACACTATACCGGATTCGCTGGTCACGACATCTTCTTTTGCCGTTACGGAGCAATGGTTAGTAGCAAATGCTTATTAGTTTAACAGAATTGGCATGTTTATTTGGGTTTCTGAGATTAATAATCTTCACAGCCTTTCGATACCTACAAAATTTGACCCACTCCGATAGCAATCCGGTATAGTGTAAACGGGGCCTCAGAGCATAGTCACTGCTCAGAGTAACATCACAAATTAAACATCATATTACTACTTTGTTTATTATTATGTCTTTGTCATAATAATAAACAAGCTATAGGTGCTCGCACATGCACGACCGACCACTACGCGTTTTGAGCTGCCTATGGGTGTAGTTGCAGATACCTCTATATTTTCATAGGTTCATGGATCAATATACAAATAATGAATGTTTACGAGTGCAATGGTAAGAATATTTTCATTCGGTGAAAGATGGAATGTTCCATTCAACGAGGCGACAGCCGAGTTGAATGGAACATTCCATCTTTCACCGAATGAAAATATTCTTATTCTGTGATACTGTCATCAAAACATTGAACAAATTGCCGAAAACGTTTTGTATTTTTTTTTTTAAATTCATTTATTTGGTTTACTTACCACACCGGGAGGGGCGTTCTGAAAAGAGTTGCCCGTCTTAGAAAATCGTTTCTCAGAAATCCATCTCCTAATACCGACTCTTCTACAGTTCATAACATTGCTTACTCGTGCAATTCATGGGAATTCAGCGCGCACTGGGTAATCCAGCGCGCGTTGGGGAATTCAGCGCGCGTTGGGTAAGCGACTGGGGACAAGTCAGCTCCTAATATCAATTCATGAATCTGGTATAAAATATAAAATACTTTATTCATGTGTGGTAAAATTCAATATATACATTAAATATACCATTATACTGCAGTTTGACATGCGCGACTAATAAAATTTCATTTTTCATAAATTATATGTATGTACAGGGTGTCTCGAAAAAAAGTATACCTTCTGAATACTATATTCACCATTGTCTATTATGGTAATCGTTCCATGTTTCGCGCACCAATATAGTAAACGTTATGTAATGGGTATTATAGTGTACTGAAAAGTTAACTGGATACCTCCATATACACGTATATACATACCCTAACCCCAACCTTAAACCTAACCCTAACCCCTAACCTAACCCCTAATACCTAACCCTAACCTATATTGGTGCGCGAAACATGGAACGATAACCTCTATTATAATGAAATCCAAACTACGGAAAACATATTTGCACCATATCCATGAGTATGGAAATTAGATTCATCCACACCGCAAAAAATAGTTGACTCGAGTCAAAATATTGAGTAAAATTACTTAAATTTATAAGCAAATTTACGAGATCTTAAGAAATTTAAGACATCTTTTTAGTACAGAAAATGTTTACTCAAAAAATTGATAAATTTGAAACTTTAGTAAACAAATGGACAGACAGGAATAATTTTACCAAAATTTTGAGTTACTGTATAGATGCTATATTTTACTCACAGCATCTCAAAATTCAATATACTCAGGGCTTTTTTGCAGTATTTCCAACTAGGATTCCACGCATGACTATTAAAATTTCATCTTCTGTAAAAATTAATCATAGTAACCAGAAAAGATCACTGGTACTTTAACCACATGATCTTCATTGAAATACACTGCCCAAATATTATCGCTGTATTTTCTAACTGTACCAATATCACCTTGTAATGTGTGTTCTTCAAACACGTGAGATGAGAGCTCGTAATTCACAACAGTTTGTACATCGTATTTGGCTTGAACTGGAGTGACATCTCGTCTCGTGCCAAGTGTTACATGGGTGCTTGCATTGGTACAGTGCTCAGGTCGTTCCGATGATTTCCCATTGTCGTCTAGCGGCAAATGTTGAAATGATTTTGTCATCTCTTCAACAGAATGCTCATGACGTGTTGCATGACCTGTAAAATATGTGTATCAAAGGCAAATTACACACATTTTGTTACACACATAAGATTATGTAAATATATAGAGATGTTACCCACGACCTAAACATGGCAGTACCCTACTACCCTATATACATATATACATGAATTTGTGGTTATAGAACTCGGCAACAGGTCTCTGTAGTTCAGTTGGTTAGAGTGCTGCACCAGAATCACATCGATTCCTACAGCTGCATTTTTCGCAGCTGTTCCTGGTTGGAGCTAATAAATGTGTATAATTAAATTTCCACTCCATAATTTCCATCTACAAGACCCTTGAAATAAGATTTACGTAGCCTGCTTTGTATACAGTATACTGAAATATAGCAAACAAACAAACAAACAAACAAACAAACAAACAAACAAACAAACAAACAAACAAACAAACGAACGAACGAACGAACGAACGAACGAACGAACGAACGAACGAACGAACGAACGAACGAACGAACGAACGAACGAACGAACGAACGAACGAACACGTGGGGGCTGTGGCCTACAAACCTGCTAAGTTGTTGTAAATAAAATGAGGGAGATTATTGGATTATAACAATATTTATCAAGCTGGCATGAGTTCATAAAATCTGCAATAGGATGGCGTGATTCTGCAGTGTGGTATTAGTGAGTTTAGCAACTGACAACGGCAACGTGATTATAAACAATATAATTTTAACTCTAAGAGAAAGGCGATTAAATTGTATTCCTTGAGCATTCTAGTACGCCGTGGTTGTTCAAACTGCTACGTTATTAAGGAGGTTTAGCAAAGACGACACGCCGACGTCAAAGACGACGTGAAAATGGCGTGATATACCCATATATGGATGGGCCACGCCATTTTCACGTCGTCTTTGGCGTCGCATCGTCTTTGCTAAACCTCCCTATTTACATCATTTTCATGGCTCATCCGTGAATTCAGTTGAGCAACTTACTTGGAGTGTGTTTACATGGAGGTATGAAAACCCTACAGCAGAAGGTTACCCCAGTATAAGCGGGTTACCCTAATCTAACGTGTTTGCGCGTTGCGTTTACATGCACGCTAGGGACCCTAGGGGTAGCCGGGTAGGGTTACACTATTAGAGACCTTACGATTTAGGACGGCAACGCGACGGCAAAGGCTACCAATACAATAAATCATTGAAAAGAATTAAATAATTACAATATATTAATAATTTTGACATTGTTCTTCACTCTGTAAAACAACACCAAACGACAGATTTTCACGTCTTGATACAACGGCTACATTGCAAGCCTCAACAAGTGCAACTTCAAACTGGGCTCAGGAACTCTTCCCAACCATAAAACTCATGTCTTCAACTTCTAAGACAGTATTAAATTTATACGATTGATAATATACGACGAATTCTCTTTACTACGATTTATTTGAAGGAGTTTGTTTTGGCCGTCGTCGTCGCGTTGCCGTCCTGCAATCGAAAGGTCTCTAATAAGGGACGGACCATTTGATTTTTCATGGGGGGGGGGCGCATTTTTGAGAGTGCTCGATATTTTTTTGGACCTCACCGACTCCGCACGATTTTTTTTATCGAATCTTGCCGCGTGCACGATATTTTTTTAAATTTTTACTATAGCGTTAATACAATAATAACCACGTATGGTTATATTCCGGCTGAAGAATGTATTTGAATATACAGCATATAACCACAAAATAGGAAAGTATAGCAGAAGTGTAACCCACGAAAATTTTAACTCGCTCACGCCATCCTGGCTAGTACAGCCGGAAGTTTTTATCAGGTTTTGGTAGGTACAAAGTGCCGGTTGTGCTAGCCAGGATGGCGTGATTGATGATCGGACGAATCGCTTGTAAAAACGCGGACAAATACTTGCTTGAGTGAGACTTCTGGTATACCTTCCTATTCTATGATATAACTATCACAGCCCATTTTATACTTGGCCAATTTTATACTTGGCTCATTTTATACGGGGCTATGGTCTACGAAATGTAGACCATAGTCCCAATCAAAATTGGATCAAGTGTATTAAAGTGTGTAACCCATTTTGCATTGGCGTAATGGCATCTATATACAAATTCTCACGGTTCCCAATCGTATCAGTGTTCCCAATACGTATTATAAACTGCGATTTTTATTCAGAATCAGAGAGCGATATTAATGAGCCGGGTGGGAAAGGTTTTTTTGTTGTGAACCGTGAATGCAGTGGCGTAGCCAGACTATAATTTTTGGGAGGGCATATATCGAACGCCGAAGGCGTAAGCATTTTTAGGGGAGTCCGAAAATTTTGAAATCTGGAGTCCCTCAATGGCGATTTCCCGTGTTTCTGGGGAGAGATTTTGCATAATTCTGAAGATTATTTACTGCAGGAAAGACCTGATTTTTAATGATTTCTCAATAACGTGGATCCTTAATTTGACTCAACGAAGCTTACTTGGTCGCGTGTGAATAGTTAAATCGAAGTTCAGTAAAACGCATTTTAACCAATAACCACCATAGGCATTATTTTCTGTAGTTAGATTTAGGAAAGATTAGAACTTTTATAGACAATTTGGTGAACAGATGAGATTGGTAGTCACATGGGTAGTCATCGTCCCCCTCCCCCCCTAATTTCTACCCGGATTTCATCTTTTTACAAGGGCAGTCCTTCAGCCTATTGGGAAGAGGGGGGGCTGAGCCCCCCCCCCCCTTGTCTACGCCACTGCGTGAATGGTCAATATTTGATCGTGTGAAATGCTTGATTTTACTGTCATGATCTGTGATTTGTTCTACAACCGTGAGGCGTGATTGTCGATCAAAAAATGCTCCGTGAAATGGGAATTAAGGATGTCTGTTTCGTGAACTGTGATTCTGATTTGTTTATTCCGATCTATTTTATAATAGTGATAATGGACATAATACGCGATAATAATTTATATGACCGATCTCACTCGATTGCACAAGAGTAGAAACTTCGGAGGCCTTTCGGAGATCGTCGGACGTACTCATCACTCAAACTTGTAAGTAGTTTTTAACTGCCAGGCAGAGAAGAGAACTTAAAGCGTAGTACTGTACCATGCATTAAAAATAATCTTAAAACTATTATTATTATATTATTTTTATTAGAGTCTCGTTATCCGTGAAATGTGAAATTGCTTTTTTATGGCACGTGAATTGTGAAACGGTATTTTTTTGTTGTGAAACGTGAATCATACCCCCCCCCCCTTTCCCACCCTCATTAATCGATGTCGAATTTACAGAAGTGTGGGACTTTCAGTGTTAAGATTGGGGATTTTAGGGATACCATTAAGGTAATTTGTGGATAATTGAATTATTGAAGTCAAAGTTGTCAGAACTGGTTTGTATCGGTTTGTATTTTGCATGTATACTTCCAGTATTGTTAACCAAGGCAGAACCGAAACACTCAACAACAAAAAACTAAGAGAAACTGAATTTTTCTTTCAATATA